ATTTTTGTATTATATTTACTATGCAATAAAGGGGCCCCAGTATTTAAAAAAAAAAAAAAAAAAAAAAAAAAAAAACTTTGTTCAAAAAAAACTTTGTTTACAGGTAGGCCAAGGGTGGCTTCTGTAAAGTCTGGCCAAAAAACTTCCATTGAGACAGATCCACTGTGTCCTAAACTAGTATCAAATGAATAAGCGTTCTAACTCTGACACAACCATGCATGTACAGTGCGCTGTTCCTCGCTCGTCCTTAGACGCTGGGAACAAGCAAAGTGGTTTGTGTCCTAGACTCAGCACTGGACATTTCTGGTCTCCCTCCGCATACGTTTTCTGGCCACGCTTTGGGGGAGCCACCCTTGGCTTACAGGAGTATCATTTAAAGGAAGCTCCACTGAACCATGTTTTTTTAAATACTGGGGTCCCTTTTTTTGCATAATAAATGGAAAACAAGGATAAAGTAACCCTTTAACCCGTTACCTCATCTGAATAAAAAATACCTTTGATTTACTCAGTAGTTAAATGACAACTTTAAAACACTCTGTAGAAACATAAACAACAGTGTAAGCTATCAACATTCATCCCTCTGCTGCTTGAAAGACTACAGAAAATATTCTTTGGTTTGCACAGCTATGTTTTATACAGCAGAACAATCTATCTTCTATATAGTTGTTGGAGGATATTCTGCAAGGATTGGCTGGCTGGAGGGTTTACCTAGTTGTACATGAAGTTCTATCAAGCATTTTCAAGGCATGGCTTTGGCGATAGCTCCCAAGGTTGCCAGAGTGCTTACGTCAGCTCTCCACCAAACTTTTAAACCCTCAACTGCTGCCCTAGATGATAACGTGTGGCACCATGGCAACTGAAGATCTAAATAAAGACTAAGATGGCATCCTCTTTGTCTGCAAAAAAATAGGAGGGTTTAATTCTACTCTAAAACCTTCAACAAGCATGCATTTATAAACACCCACAAAATACTCAAAATGTAATGCTTGCCATACAGATTCCTCCATCCACGTAAGCGAGGTGGATGGAGAAATTCCCCACCTCAAGATATTGTTTTCTGACAACGGCTCCCACTGCTGTCAGAATACACTGACAAAAGTCTTCCAGCATTTCACTTCACAGATGTCAATCAAACAATCAACTTCTGTTCCAGCAGGGACATCCACACACTGATCAAAACTGAACAAGTCCTTGCTGAACCAGCCAAACTTCAATCCCTCTATGGCCTGCTTAATTTTAATGCGACCATTACCTTGGAGTTCTGGTCCCAGGATGTTCAGAAGAGCACTCAGGCAGCGTCCCAGACTTCGATGAACTTCTGCATGTGACGGTGATGTCGTTAACAGCGCAGTTAATAGAAGGGTAAGTGTGGGCTCTACGTGAACATAGTATAGCGGTCCTGAGGAATCAATGATGATGGACAACGAATGCAGGGCCCAAGTCTGTAGAGTAATACATTAATTGATTCTTACATACATAAAGTAATGTTTGAATGTCATTTTTTCTGCATTTAGCCATAGCGATGGATAATAAATCATGTCCAACATCCAAGCAGCATCAATCAATGTGACATTAAGTCTTATTTCCTCTAAAAAAAACTTCTGAGCTACAGAAGGCTTTCCTAATACTTGTGCTGTGTGACAAGAAATTACATACAGTCAATCCACCTGTTACATTCTATAAATCCTTTGTTAACTGTCTATGCTCAAGGTTTTATTACTACTTGTTACATTATAAGCATCCCTGACTGCCTAGTTCTCTCCTATCCTGTCAGTTCAGGAATTACGTTTCCAAGGAATGTAAAGGAGAAAAAAAACAGATTGCAAAATCAGACCAACATCTGTCAGCAGTTTGAAGCAAAGCTACAAATTGCCCACGCAGGGCAAATAACAGGTTTAGTTTTAGGTGTTCCAACCAGCTGTGAAAAATCATCTTCATTTTGCTCTCACACTGGTCTGTTTACCAAGAAAGAGAGACATATCCTGAACTTGAAACAGGTAAAGAATTTCTCTTCCTTCCAAATGAATTGTGGGTGTGACAAAATTGCAGTGACAGTGGGAGAGCATTAAAACTTACAACCAGAATGCAGGGGTCAGAAGTATGTAGTTTATAGTACACAATGCAAGCTTCAGGAGTATGTATTGTGCATAGCGCAGCTGTTTGCAAAAATGTACAGAGTGTAGGGGTTAGAAGTGGGTAACACACAAAGAGCAGGGGTGAGGTGTATATAATGTACACAGTGCAGGAGTCACAAGTTTTGATCAGTGAAAGTGCTTCCCAAAAGTAACATAAATGAAATATATTTTGTCCTCCAGAACATGCCTTACTGTGCCCTAACACAAGTCATCAGCAGATTAAATACAAGAACTCTATTTTTGCTCCAAGACTGTTGTTGGACACAAGTGAGTGCAGAGGGTAGACAAGTCCCTGTTGTAATAATCCTTTACCTGACACTGATCTCAGGGATGTGTGGACTGCAGGTGCACAGGGAGCAGCAGAGCCACAAAGTAAATCCCCTAATCACACATATACTACACCGCTACTGTCCAGTTTGTGCAAACAGCACACCTAAATGGCTGTCAGGCTCCATCTACCAAATATCGCACCATAGCTTCTATCGGTCATTGTGCCATGCTTACAGCCTTGTCTGAGGAATGGGTTTAATGCGCGCAGCAGACGAAGGGGGAGAGACATAACTGGCAACTCCCAGACTGACAAGTCTGGAACACTGTGGCGGCACTGTGATGTGAAATAATCGGGGAGAGTGAGATGTGGGCAACACTGGCTAGGCCCCACTTCTGACCCAATGGGGACCAGGCCCAGTATAAGAGCTGTTGTATATGCTTCCTTGCCCAGCACTGTCATATGGGGAAAGGGATAGACTCTTCCTATGTGTAAACTCAATGTTGGGAACAGAACAGAGAGGTGGTAAAGAACTGTGATTAAATGGCTGCTAGCACCATCATGAAACCCTTCCAAAACTATAACTTGAAGTTAGTTTAGTAGAACAATGCACCTTAAACCCGCATGCTTTTTCTGAGGTTTTGCATTCCTGAGATTTGGGTCCAACCTGACAACATACAAATTTCTGCTGGCTTTGGTTGCTGGCTCTAATACACAAAAGCAGAGGTGACAAATGAGGAAAGTTCAATAGACACTGTGATACTCTGATCATGACTGTCATCAGGTACTCCGAAGGAAAGACAGTTAGCATGTAGATTACAACGTTCTATTTCTGGACAAAACAGTAAAGGTTGACAACGGTGCAGGACTTTTACTGCCAAAAAGTGATTACATTTGCTTTGTACTATTGGAAAAGAACTAGGGAATTTTCTCTTGATTCATAGAATCTAGAAATTCTTCTAATAATGTCCCATTCAACTAAGTTTACGTTGACAAGGTAAGCACAAATCACCTTTTTCTTAGGTTAGGCCCACTCACCTGAACTTCAGGAGACGTGATATCTTGAGACAATGAATGTAGCACGGATACACAAGAGGCCAAGTGCTGGGAAGAGCTAAGCCCTCCAAGATATCTGTGTAAAGAACCTAGGGCTAGAGAATGACTGGTTCTGGCCACCACATCTCTAGCCACCTTTAGTCTGGAAAGTAGAAGAAAAACAGCAGTATTAAAGTAGATCTATATTCTGATTGGGAGACTTAATTTGCTAAAGTACTGTGTTTTAAACCATTACCAACAATTCCTTTTACTTTGTCATATCCCTTTTTGCATTCCAGTGCTGCTGATCTTCAATTTTCTATCTACAGGCATATGTAGAAACATTTGACATCCACGTACAGTTGTTTTTTTTTTTTTTTAAAAAGTATTAGCTCTCTTTATTGCATAAAAGCAGCAGTACAGAATAATAAACTTCCAGTGTCAAACATCAACTTTTTAAATCACATCTAGCTTTTTGCCAAGCTAAGAGCAAACCAACACAAGGGAGAGGATGAAAAGCAAGTGGAGCCGACGGATATCTTTTGCGTATGTGTAATAATGAACAACTGGCTCACATAGCTTCAAAAAAACTAATTCTATCAATCAACCAAAAGGTTGACCCAAGGGGAACTATTTCATTTTCAGCACCCCATTAGGGCCACCCATCATCTTTATATTATTTTATTACTATTTGATATTCATACAAAACATTGTCGCAGTAAACCCTTATCACAAAACTGGAGGGTGGACATGAAGGGGAACCACCCTTCTATTACCCCTTAACAAACAAATGGCAACCAACCCAACCTATACTAGCACATGGAAGAGCAAGGCATGTAGAAAAAAAAAAAAAATTCCCAGCTCACTTACCAACCAGCCTGCAACAAACCAAATTACCGTCTGAACATTCACGTTAAAAACAAGGTGTTTAGTTTGCACACATTCGCAAATGTATGTGTCAACTGCAGCGGCCATATCACAGCACCCCTGCAGTCCTAACTCTATAATTTTGAAAGTCTCCCATGTTGGAGCACATTTATAATAATGAATGGATTAAGGACAGGTATGCCTGGAGGGAGCCCACCCCTTCTTTATGGTGCAGGGACACACTAGACACCCAGCAAAAGCACAATGGCAAAGGTATCCAATGCATCCCCACACCACTTTACCAGCTATACAAGCAAAAGGGAACCACCCCAACCTAAAAGTAGCCTTTGCAGCAAGGAGCACATGGAAGCACAACACATGTAAAAAAAAACAAACAAAAAATTCCCAGCTTACTTACCCGCCAGCCTGCAACAAACTGAATTAAACCTGTCTAACAATTCACATTAAAAGAAAGGAGTTTTGTTTAAAAGCAGGAAGTAAAACTTGTATTAGCTGAACGTAATATTTGAAATATTCTTGTGTACACAGTTGTGCATGTAAGCTTTTTGTTAAAAAAAAAAAGTGAAGTTTGAAAAAAAGCAGTAAATAAAATGTAATTAATACATTTTACTGATCAAAAAAGAAAGCAGTATTATAAAAAAAATCATATCAGCCACATACTTTTCAAAGCTTGCTTGTGCTAATCCTGAAGTGTATGGAGTTTCGGCCACCACGTGGGAAAGCCTGGCCATACATTCCACAGCTGCACACCGCAGTCCTGGGCTGCTGCTGTCCAGCGCCCCTAGAATTAAGCCCAGACATGGTTTTCGAGCCTCTTCAGGTCCTAAATTTACATGATCTAAGGCCAGATGCTACAAGAAACAGACAAGGAATAGAAGGAACATTTACTACTTCTTGGGTATCATTTAGAGGACAAAATGGTAATTATTCAAGAGCAGTGTGCAAAACTTGTAAGCTTAAAGTGAATCTGTCATGGGAAAAAACATGGAGGTGCTATTTCTGGCATCTTCTTTGTGAATGTTAGTTTCCTGACTGTCCTGTTAATGCTTTGTCTTCAATGTTTTCCAAGTTTCTAACCTGTGACTAGCATAGATATAGGGAAATCTGACTTTCATTTACAGCTCAGGTTTTAAAGATGAACTCCAGCCTTACCTCCAGTTTTGTACAGTTGTATGGAAAATGCTCACTGATTTCACAGCACACTGTGAGCTTCTCAGTGTTCATTAGAAGCTGCAGAAAGTCAGATACAGCCCATCTAATTTTCTGGCTGGAGGACATCCAGCATAAACCTAGCACTTTCCTGCCCAGTCCTGCTGTCCCTAGCCCACCCCCTTTCAGTCATTGGATTTCAGTTCTTCAGTTATGCAGGCTCAGCATCACATGTGGCCTTTACCTAGGCACCTATGCATACAAATGCAGCTTGCCACTAATACCCACTCCTCCAGTCTGACAGTCACTCACCCATTAAAAGAGTTGCTTTAAAAGTTAGTTAGAAAGCTGTACTATGTAGAGACAGGAAAGTATAGAGTTTACCCACAATAGTAAAATCCATCTGTATATGCAGTGAAGCATGCTGGTTATACTCACTGTGGAACCTAAGGGGTTAAACTTCTGCATTGTGTAAAAATTCTGTTTGATCCTGACTTCTCTGATCCTCCCCTTCTTCCAGTGCTCCCTCTTATCTCCTGATAAGACATATTGTGTGGAGACACTGCACATGCTCAATTTGGTGTGTATTGCTAGAGAAGCTTTTTTTTTGTTTTTTTTTTCTTGGGAGATTGCATGTGATCAGCACAGGGCCAATCAGCACTGTCCAGACAGAGGTCAGATATTTTTCATCCTCTTAGAGCAGAAAGAAAACTCCTCCTACAAGCTTTAACCAGTGCTCTGCTGCACACTGATAGAGGTCACAAGACTGCTCTAACTGCTGATGAGAAAAGGTATTTAGCAGTTTATATGTACTAAAATACTTGCATTTACATGGTCTGTGTACTGTTGGAGACCAGATAAAGTCAATGCAGGGTCCTGGGCTTAGTAACACTTTAAATGATACCTTCACCTGGTTAAATGTACGTAGATCACAATTGCAAACTTCCAAAACTGATTAGGTTTCTATTTCTTTAGTAGATGGCATGCTGTATTATGCCAGCAGATTCCTGACCTGTTTTTAAAGCTTTCATTATCTCCTCTGCCAGTAAGTGCTAGCATATAACATTTTTTTTTTCAAACTGACATCTACAGTAACATTCAATAACGTCACTGACTTGTGGTAATAAACTTACTCAATACCAATAGTGGACATATATTATTTAAATTCGTAAGTTCCATGTCAAACACTTGCTAGTAATTTGCATTTATGTGAGATATACCTCTAACACTGCACAATAGAGGTGGACTGCAATATATTAAACAGCCAATAATGGCCAATTAACTCAAAGGAATTTGATTTCTAGATTTATATATCTATAGTGATTTTTATTTGTCAGGTCAGGACTGCTTCCTTCAGTAGGTTTGGTTACTGGCATACAAAAAAAATGTAGGCCAGACCAGGATACCTCCTCTTACTTGCAGCATGTCTCAGTTTATAGCAACCTTGTGCATTACCTCAGTAACCAAAATTTATTTAATGAAGGAATGGTACTCACAAACAGCGAATAAAAACAGGCATTTAAGTCCACCCAGGGACTTCAAAGGCAAGAGGCCAGCGCGAAACCCATCATGGGTGTAGGTACTCAGTCCAGCTGACGCGTTTCGAAGGTCAAGCCTTCTTCCTCAGAGCTGACTGGACTGAGAGTGTATGCTCCCATTCATGCCCACAGACTGAAATGGGACCCTCCCAAATGGGTTGGGCTGTCCTGGGCCAGGGGAAGGGGCCCGGGCCCAGGACAGCCCAACCCATTTGGGAGGGTCCCATTTCAGTCTGTGGGCATAAATGGGAGCATACACTCTCAGTCCAGTCAGCTCTGAGGAAGAAGGCTTGACCTTCGAAACGCGTCAGCTGGACTGAGTACCTACACCCATGATGGGATTCGCGCTGGCCTCTTGCCTTTGAAGTCCCTGGGTGGACTTAAATGCCTGTTTTTATTCGCTGTTTGTGAGTACCATTCCTTCATTAAATAAATTTTGGTTACTGAGGTAATGCACAAGGTTGGTGCGCTTCTTGTTGTTTCACTTCACAGTTTGTTCGGGCTTCCCCAGCCTTGGTTTGGAGCTGCACGACTTTGGATACTCCGGTGGTTGCCTCTCTGGAGGTTCTAATTCCATCTACTCGCCACCGGCCTGGGTCCCGGAGCGCACGAGAAATCGCTTTTGGTTTCAGTTTATAGCAAAGCAGTACCAAAAGTATGATCATAAACATAGAGGGGTGGGACCTGTGTTCCTCAATGGACTCCAAGAAAAGGATTTTATGGTGAAAACAAAAATCCTACTTTCTTTCTCATTCATTAACTGTTAGAATGTCTGAAATCAGTCCAAACAAAGGACATCTCAAAAAGCCACCTGAAAGACATAATGCCCAAAGCTGGCATCAGCATTAACATCCAACTGGAAGGACTTGTAAATTGTATGAACAGAAGACCAGGTGGAAGCCTTGCAAAGCTGAAAAATAGTAGCTTAATACTACAATGCTGCACTCACCATGGATCTAGCAGACTGTGCCTTTATAGAAAAGGGAGGAAACCCATCCTTAAGAATATAAACTTGGATAATGGTCTGAAACACTAAGAAATGGTGGAATGAGAGCCTGATTCTCCTTTAAAGGCACCATCAGGAATGATAAAGAAAGAGTCAGTCTTTCTGAAGGAAGTAGCGGCAGAATGACAAACTGTCACAGCTCAAAACCATATCCAGGAAATGATGAACGGGAGCAAGACGGAGGACTGAAAAAACGTGCTGGCTGAGGTAACAGGTAACTACATTAACTAGAAAAACATTTCTGGCCCTCAAAACCACCATGTCCTTGTGCAAGACCAGAAAGGGTTCCTTTCTTCTGCAGAGATGATGGCTACAAGGGATACAACCTTATGGGTAAGCATGGAAAGAGCAATATCCTTGACAGGCTCAAAGGGCAGTTTTTGAAGCGTTGCAAGAACCAAATGCAGATCCCACAGAGCCAAAGGGGAGTGAACAGTGGGAGCTACATGGGAGACACCTTGAGCAATTGTCTTGATCAAGGAATGCAATGTGAACCAAATTTGGAGCAAGATAACAGAAGAACAGAGACCTGAACCCTAATGGTGCTGAGGGCCAAATGCTATTCCAGACCCAACAGTAAAAAAAGATAAAGCCGACAGAAAAGTTACCTGGGTGAATGTCTTGTGCCAAGAAAAGCATGCCTTTAAAGTACAATAATTGAACCTTTGAGAAACTGACTTTTTAACTTTTAGTATGGTGGGAAAAACTCAGAACCTGGCTTTAAGAGTCACATAGTTAAAGCCAATGTCCATGATGCAGGATAGTACATCAGTCTATGAGACAGAAAATTCAGACAATCTGAAAGAACACAAAGCAGACTTATCAGGCTAGAGTACCACATCTGCCTGGGCCAATCCAGAGATATGGGGATCACCAGAATACCCTTCATTTTGATCCTGCATAGCAGAAAAAAAAATGTTTTGGGAAAGAAAGGAATGCATTAGAGTACTGATCATAGGGAATCTCCACCACCCCCTGCTTCCACTAGGGTTTCCCTGTACCTGGAAACAAACCTATCTGCTTTGCCAAGGGACTAGGTCAAGGACACCTTGTTCTAAAGGAACCAGCAGGGATGCCTAGAGACCTGCCCATCTATGCTGTGACACTGATCATTCGACACTGATTAACTGAGGAGAGGCAGGGGGAAAAAAAAAAACCTATCATGCTGCCCCTGGTGACCGCCTCCTGCACCCAAAATTCTGAGATACAAGTCATCCAAATGTCCACAATGGCCAACAGAAGTTCCCCCTCTTTGGAAAGTGGGGGGATGCAACTTCATGATTTCTCCAAGGATTTGGCATACTTAAGAGTGATAACAGTTGCAGGAGGCCTGGAAGCAACACTTGGGTTTTGATTTAGTGCTTGAGGCCATGGAGTTACAAAAGAAACTTCTTGATCTCCAGCGGAGGATAAATCTTCCCAGGCTAAGCCTTAGGCTTTTTTTGCTTGAGGAAGATATGTGTTCTGACAAAACAATGTGCACGCTGGAGTCTACGGACTTGTGCTGCTGTCACCGAGAGCTTCATTCTACATCTGTCAACATCAGTGCTTCTGGCACAGTCAGAAAACTAAGACTAAATCCACGCTCCCTTCTCTATCTGCAAATGACTTTCACAGTCTATACTCATTTGTACTTGTTACCAGGAGGAATTTCTGCACCAGGCACCTAACATGTTTCTACTTGCCAAAGTTAATTATGGTTTCATCCTGGTCATCTTTTTAGCAAGAGGCGGGAGTACCTCATTCATCTTGTGAAGAGCTTTGTTTTGACCCAGTACAGCACATACAGATGTTTTTGAAACAGTTAGAAGGCTACCAAGTGCTTGGAAAGTACAACCCCAATTCCCAAAAAAATTGGGATGCTGTATAAAATCTACATAAAAACAGAATGCAATGATTTACAAAGCTCATAAACCCATATTCTATTCACAATAGAAAACATATCAAATGTTTAAAATGAGAAACTGTACCATTAAAAAAAGAAAAATAAGTTAGTTTGTAAATTGATGGCAGTAACACGTCTCATAAACGTTGGGACAAGGCAACAAAAAGCAGGCACAGTAAGTGGCACCAACAAGGAAGAGCATTTTGAAACTAATTAGGTTAATTGGCAACAGGTCAGTAATATTTTTGGGTATAAAAAGAGAATCTTACAGAGCCTGAGTGTCTAAGACGTATAGTTGGGCAGAGGCCTGCGATCTGTGAAGAGCTGCATCTAAAAATTGTTGAAAAAATAACAGAATAATGTTCCCGAACGTAAAAATGCAAAGATTTGCATTGTGATTTTATGTAGATTTTCCAACTTTTTGGGAAATGGGGTTGTACAAACATCTTATCAGGATTTTCCTAGTCACCACAAAGGAAAGTTTGGAAAGTGGGTGCACCGGAAAGCTCTAGGCAGTCTTAGGACCTTTATAGTTCCGAGACTGGGGACAGTGCAGGTAGAAGCAAAAGGCTGAACATCTAGCATCAAGGTGGTGCTCACCACATCAAAAAGGACCGAAACAGTTTATTTTAGTTTGGAAGTGATAGCAGAGGACTGTGACTGTTTAGAGGCAGTTTTGTCAATCAAGGACTGCAGAGAGCCAGCATCAGTCTCAGCAGCTGATATTTCAAGGGCTGATAAAACCATTGTGAGATCAGATATAGAATCTGCAGGGGAAAGCACGGGAACAGCCTTGTGGCCTCTGCTTCAGAATCAGCACACACTTGTGCTATTTGGCCCATAAATTCATGCATAACTGAAGTAAAAAGCTTCTTAGAGCAGAGGAGGTAGCCATGCTCTAAAGAGTTAGGGAAAACTCAAAAGATGGCATAGTCTCCACTAGCAGCGAGCACGAAGATTCAAGGCTTCAGATGTAGGCCACATTAGTAGGCTCGCTGTAAGCAGCACTGGTGGTGTTCATGGGGTGTGAGCTTGGGCACCTAGTACGGCCAGCTTGCCCTCCATGGCTAGAACATGGTTTGTTGCAGAAGGCAGTAACGCAACACTGAAAGACCTCAGATACTCACAAACCCAACTGCTGGTAGCAGGTGTAGAGTGAGCCGGAGTGACTAAGTAACTGAAGGCTGGCAGCAGGAACGTACCAAGAATCTATAGAGTTCCACATGGCCCTTGTAATCATGAGCAGCTGGATGAATGAATGCTGAATGATAGGAAAGAGAGAGAGGAGTGTGGCAACAATTTTCCCAGCAGATTAAATCAGCACTTTATGCCTCAGAGTTAACCCACAGAAAGGAGGAAAATTGAAAGCACACAGAGGTTCAAACAACACGGTAGCTTCGAGCACTTAGCCCAATTGACTGTCTTACAAAGTAAGTTTTCAGAGACAGGGCAAGTGCTGAGGCAAAAAGCAGTGGCTCTGAACCTGAAAAGCATTCTGTGACCAACTTGCTACCAGAACAGAGTCTGGAAAGTGCCTTAAGCAGAACCCAGTGCCCACGATCACTTCCAGGTTAGCCCTGTGAAATCCAGTCCAGCAGGGTTTGGGTACAAAATTCCCAAAGGTAGGATGAGAAAAGGACACTCCAGATAGCTGCATTGTAGAGACCAGTTCAAGCAGCAATGTAAGAAGCAATCTTAATTGAAGAAAAAAAAGCTAGCAAAAGATGATTAGTCTTTTTTTTAACAGAGCTGTAAAAAAAAAAAAGATGTCCATCGTCCTAGGACATCAGCATGCTGTAAATAGGAGAGGTTATCCCTGGGGCTGGCCTACATTTTTCTGTTTGTCATTATTTAATCCTCCTATAGGCAGCAGTAGAACCTGACAGTTAGTTATTGACTTTTTGTTTCCATCAATAGACAAGAAAAAAAAACAGATTAAATAAGAAGTAAAAAGCAGTAATAGATTTTATATATTCTGCATATTTAATATAATACTGTATATTTTGCAGCAACTGGAGAGTAGTTGGGTTACACCTCAAATATGTCTGGATGGTCAAAGCCATTGGACAAAAGCAGTCTGAGTAGGGTAACAGTTGCCAGTATTGAAGGAACAGCAAGTACAAATGAAATGAAACAAAAATCAAAAGTCTCCAAAATATCTAAAATAAGAGTATACCTAATTTTTTTCTAACAGCAAATTTACACCAAGTAAACACAGAAGAGATAAGCCATTTTATTAGTGTCTATCCTCCTATAGGAAAGATTATAATTTCAAACTATACTATGGTAACCAAGAAGTGGTAAAAAAACATAATTAAGATTGTTTCGCCACTTCAATTGGCAGCTGAATTAAATGAATACTGATTTCAGTCAATCGTAATCTAGCGACAAGAATACTTACTTTGAGGAAGCAGCAGAGTGCAGCAAGAGCTGATAGCTGGATACTCTGTTGACGGGAGCCTTTTGTTTGTTTGATACAATCCACCAACTGCTCCAAGATTTGAACTCTACAGGTGACAGTGAAAAAGTTGACAACGATTTATGTTCTTAAGAAGAAAACATTAGAAATCAAAACTATGTGCAACATTTACACCCCATAGTTATTATTATTTCCCACAATCTTACCTCTGTGACTCTGGCATATTTGACAGTAAAATGCCAAAGATTGAGGCAGCAGCATGGATGACTGTGAAGGCTGGAGGCAGGGAGGTGGGAACCGACTCTCCTTGAGAGGGCATCTGATAAACTGCATGAATATCATATTCCAGACCACCTGTGATCCCACTGCTGAGGAGCAGCTAGACAGCAAATAGTTATCATATTAATATAAAAATACTGTCAGCATATTGAGCATAAAACCAAATTTTTAACATTCTGAAAGTCTGAACTTCAAAACACAACTGTCATGAAGTTATTATCTTCTTGCTAGAGGCAAGTATGGGTAAAGCTCAAAAGCTGCTATACTGAATTACATGTATTTTGGTATGTAAACTGTTTGCAATTATGTATTTTAACTATATATGCAACTGTCAACCATGGAGCCTTGTTTTGAAAAATCAACAGGGAGACAATGCAAAGTTCATTTTCTTTTTGTACTTCACCTGTGCAAATGTAATATATGGTTTTAAAAGTTATTGTCCTTTTTTGATAAAGACACTAAGATATGTGTACTTACAAACAAATCATTTTCTTAGTCTACTGAGGAACACAGGCATTCAGAAACAGTTGGGTTATGACAATGAAGGAATAGGTTTTAGTTATAGGCGACTTCACCATTACTAACATTAAATGTAATTTTCAAACTGCACTTTCAAGCAGGAGCAAAATACAATGGAGATACTGAATGGGGTTTCTATGAAACAGATAGTAAACATCCCAACTAGAGTAGATCACATTCTCGACCTAGTGATAACAAATGGAGACTGATTGTCTGAGGTGGAGGCGGGAGAAATTCTGGGTTCTAGGGATCACCTTTTTTTCTTTTGCTTTACTATTAAAACAAGAACTAAAAAATCATATGCAAAAAACAAAAGTTTTGGATTTAAAAAGGACATATTTTTCTAAACTTGTGAATTTCTAAAAAATGAAGGCTGGATTAAGACAACAGGAGTTAGTAATCAGTGGACACTACTTACCATCCTGGAAAAACTAGATATGTTAGGCAAATAATAAGAGAAAATAGAAAAAGGTAGTGGAAGGATTGCAGTGTGTGTGCTGGAAGTTGCTTAATAAAATTAAATGGATTTTCAAGATGTCACCGACGTGTAGCCCATTTTCTTGAATTTTAGTGCAGTGTGGAGTGAGGGCGGACTCCTGGACTTCAGCACATGGGTGGTATGCAAGCTTGAGGAGGATAAAGACTACTTTGGTAGCGGTGGGATTTGCTGTGATCATCCATCTCAAACAGAGATTTAACAAGGAAACTTAACTAAAGCCATCAAACAGAAAATAGTGGTATAACAAAAAACATGGCTGAAGTCACCAAGGGAAAACTAAGTGAGAGCTCTTTTAGCAGAACTAAAGAAAAAGTGTGCAACCTCCTAGGATACTAGTAAACAAATTTCTGCATACTAAGCACAGGAGGTGTTATATGTGGACTGGCTTAAAACTTTCTTTTATTTGCCAGTTTCCCATCCTGCTGTAGAAGGCAGTATAACCCAAATATTTCTGATGTCTCGTTTCGCTCAATGGACAAAACAGGAATAAAATACAAGTTGGACTATTGGGGGGAAAGGGGCCCAGAGGGCCATGTCGTTTAAAAGCTTGCCAGTGTCCAAATCACCTGAAGTGACACACCTAGAAACCATGGTTTATGAATATGTTTTATATGCCCTGTACTGTATGATAAAGATATAAATGTATCGCCTTAACAAGAAAATAAATAGTAATACAGGATATGCAAATCAGGCCATATTATTTAGAACCCTCCTTTAGACAAGTTACTATTCACCTGCTCTTCAACAGCTCTGTGACTACTCTCCCTCAGTGATGGTCCCAACAGCACTAGGTCATCAGGATGACAGAGTGATGGCAGCAAGAATCCAGCTCCACTAGGTGTGTAGTCAGGAGACGACAGGTCAGCAACCAGTTCCTTCATAACAGCACAAATACTGCCTGTTTCCAAGACAAAACAACGTACAGGCTGTAAAGACTGGCTGATACAATTTGATCTCTAATAAGTTTGTTATAACACAGCACAGCAAAACACTCTTATCTACAGTAATATTATATAGGAAATAAAAGTACCTTCATATGTTTTGGGAGGCAGTTGTTTGAGTAGCTGGTACAGCCTTAGTCTGTACAGGACAGAACAAGCCTTCAAGGGGTTTCCATACATCTTCTGTAAGCTGGGTAGTCTAACCATAGGAAACAGGTTATTTACTGAATTACAGTAGATTGCATGAACAGAAATATGAAGCAAAACAGGCATTTATAACATAACATCCTAAGTAGCACAAACACAAATTCCAAAATCTCTAACTGGCACAGAGTTTACTGGGAGAAAAAGTTCCAAATACAACTTTTTCTTCTGTAGCACCACCTGATGGTAAATTCTAGTCTTGAAAATGACTAAGGGCTTGTTTTGACAGGCTTTTTTTTTTTTTGCATTAGATTGGTTTTGCATTCCCATACTAAATTTATGGGTATATAAAATCTGTTTTTAGAAGATTGTCAGGAGGAGATCAACTGCACCTGTAACTATGTTCTGAATTATTTCAGAAGCATCTAAACTGATGCTGTCAACACAAGCCCAACAAAAGCCCAAAGACTGTAGACATAGGTGTCCTTTTATGAAACAGAGATCACCGACGATCCCAAGGATCGTTGCTGATCTCCAATCATTAGTCGTTTAGGAAACAGAGATGATCAGTGGAGAACATGTTCTCCGCTGATCATCTCAGCACACAGACTGCCAGTGTATGAAGGAGCGATGTCAGTCCTTCACTGGCGATCTGTGTTCTCCCTCCAGATTCTCCAGCCCAGAGCTGGAGAATCAGGGGAACCGTAAACGAAGCAGCGATAATTTACTGCTGCTTAGTAAATGGTGTTTGATCTCTTACTGTAATCTCTCGAGACTGCAGTAAAAGCAGCCGTTTTCTAGAGTTCAGTGTTTGTAGATCGCTTCTCTCTTCATTCAGAGAACCACTCTACACTGCTTCATAAAAAGGCATTCAGAGAACTCTCTCCCCTGCGAATGCCGAAGAACTGGGCAGCGGTCATTTACCACTGCATGATAAATGGACACCACAGATCCTAAAAAATACAATGAACCAGCAAACACAAATGCTCCTGCGCTTGGGGATGTTCTCGATGCAGGCTACAACCACATTAAGAATGTCCCGGAACATGCACACCTTGCTGCCCTCAAATAGACCGGGGGAATACAAATATACTGAATGAGGAAAGAACAAACAGAGGGCGCACAGGCCTAGTGCATTACCATAAAAAATAAAGTAGGTTTTGTACTCACAAACGACAATATAGTCAAGGCACATCATAAAGAACAGCTGGGTCAACACCGTGCTGAGTAACAGTCTGTAATAGGGAGTGTAGACATCCAATAGACTGACGCATTTCGAGGACTTGCCTCTTCCTCAGGGCCAGTGAGGGCCTGTGCGCCCTCTGTTTGTTCTTTCCTCATTCACTAAAAAATACAATATAATGTCCTCCAAGAGCTCCTGAACCTCTCCCTTTGACTCTTTCATTTCTGATAGTTTGGAAAAAGCAGCGCACATTCATTGTGGCTATGTGAACTGCTCTATGCATACAAAAAATCCCTTAGTCCATCTTGACACAAATGTGGAGAGTGTGCCTCTGTTCTTACATAATGTGGGACAATGAAGACTGAACAAAGCTATCCTTCAGGAAGTTGAACCACAGCAGCACAAAAAAAGAATTTGGGGATTCAGAGGAGGCTGAGAGCAATAGATGGTGCCTATTTACTTGAAAATAAACCAGAGAATTTAGTCTCACTTAAACCCTGGTTCAAACCTAAGCAGGTTGCAATAATGCATTTTACCAGGTGCATTTTGTGTTTTTTTCACACGTGTATTTGACATGTTTTTATGCATTTTGGGTTTTTGGGAGGGGTCTGTTGTCTTGCTGGAGAAACCAACAAAACACAGCAGAAACGCATAAAAAAATGCAAGCAATGCATATCTGCTGCGTTTCCATTGAAGTCTATGGAACTAAAAATGGAACCTGTATAGGGTGTAGCGCTGTATATAAAAATTCAAAATAAACCAATATGTCCACATATATTGATCATAAACGCATGTAAATACGAAAACGGATAAAAAGTCTGTAAACAGAAGAAAATGCAGCAGATGAACTTGTGACTCCAGCCAAAAGTGAAAAGTGCGCACTCACCGGAAGCGCATAGATAATGCGCATATATGTAAATTCTCGAAGTAAACTGGTCAATCTGGTGAACTATTTCCTATGGTGCAGTCATCAAGCCGTTAGGGAAGTAATTAAATCTACTGGTTCCAGAGGTCCTCCTTAAGATTAGTGAGGTGGTCAGCCTGGATATGGGGCTCCTATTCCTCCGGATATGCTGGATACTAACAGGTACCTGTGGGCTTAATAGCTCCAGACGGGAGCCACAAAAGAGGTGCCCATAGTGTAGTATATTAAAATACTTTATTGTAGTACCGCATATAACAGACAGGGTATAGTGATGAGCAAGAAAAAAGCACTATACCTCTATTAAAATGGCCGCCCGGGCTTCTTTCCAGCTCCAGGCGGCAGTAGTGTGCTGTGCTGTCTGGTTCCTCCTCAAGTATTTTAATATACTACACTATGGGCACCTCTTTTGTGGCTCCTGTCTGGAGCTATTAAGCCCACAGGTACCTGTTAGTATCCAGCATATCCGGAGGAATAGGAGCCCCATATCCAGGCTGACCACCTCACTAATCTTAAGGAGGACCTCTGGAACCAGTGGATTTAATTACTTCCCTGACGGCTTGATGACTGCACCATAGGAAAAAGTTCACCAGATTGACCAGTTTACCTTGAGAATTTACATATATGCGCATTATCTATGCGCTTCCGGTGAGTGCACACTTTTCACTTTTGGCTGGAGTCACAAGTTCATCTGCTGCATTTTCTTCTGTTTACAGACTTTTTACCCGTTTACGTATTTACATGCGTTTATGATCAATATATGTGGACATATTGGTTTATTTTGAATTTTTAGATACAGCGCTACACCCTATACATTTCTGATCTTTTTGGAGTTTTATTGGTACCTCTTGGTGTTTTAGCAGCTACTATTAGGAGCGCTCACTTTACTATTATTTATACTTAAAAATGGAACCTGCTGCGGGAAAAAAGTCCCTGGCCCTTTCCAAAAAACACACAAATGGAAAACGCAGAGATGTGAGGGGGGGCTCATAAGAAATCGTGTTAAATGGACTGCAGTGCATTTCTGCAAAACTGAAAATGAACTGACAATGGCATAGGTGTAAATAATATGCCGGAGGTTTAAAGGGGATATAAAGTGGTTTTCTATACATTTTATTTAGTAATAACATTTATGAATATTAGGAAGGCAACAGGTGGAATTCCTTTTCACATGTTTTTCTCTGTCTCAGCTACTGTAAAACATCTGTAGCTTACAGAGCTCAACAGCTCAAGCTAAAATTTATACTCACATACAGTATGTACAAAGGTGAATGTGTCAGAGCAGTGACTTGTCTTCCCTTATTAGATGGCTACATTGAAGTTTTCTGTTAACAGACAATGTAGATGTAAGGGCTAATTTATTTAAAAAAGAAGTATGCTAAAGCTTTTTTGGGGGTCACAGGACTGCACGCACTTTTGCTCTCCTGTGACCCAGAAGAGATGTATGGCCAAATGACCGGCTAATGCCTGCTGTCAGCTGACGTGGAAGAGTTGCTCCAGGCTGTGGAAGGACTCTGTTAACATTGTCAGGATCCACACAGTTGCCAAATTGACAGCTGGCTCCAGCTCTCAGCATGCATGCTGGGAATTGAAGTCAGCTGTGTACTTCCTCTCTGCAGCTCAGAACTCCAGTGAGCGCTGGAGGAGTGGAGCAGAGAGCAGTGACTGACAGTCACTGTTTGTTCCGTTCCTTGTGTTGTCTTCATTGAATATGGCTGTATCTCAATAATTTCCCTTTGGGATTAATAAAGTATTCTGATTCCCTCCAGACAGACTGAGAACTGAGTGATTAGCAGTCATTTGATCGTTCAATTCTCGGTCTGAGAGCTGACATAGGACAGCTGCAGCATCACACCGATGTTGCAGCAAAGAATTTAGTATGGCAGTTTTCTTTTTTACATACCTTAAACTTCTCCTTTAATAAATTTTCAGTACAAATAACAAGAACCTTTCATTCTTTAACCACTTGACCTCCAGAAGGGTTTACCCCTATTCAGCACTGTGGTACTTTAACTGGCAATTGCTCAGTCATGCAAAATGTACCCTAATTAAATTTATATCATTTTTTTTTTTTTTTTTTTTTTTTTTTTTACACAGAGCTTTCTTTTGGTGGCATTTAATCACCACTGGGTTTTTATTTTTGTATTTATTAAGTGTTCTTGCAAGAACACTTATTGTTATCTCACAAATATATTCTTATAGCAAAATTTACCACGCTAACTCCTCCCACAGTTTTTACACTACAAAGACAAGTAATATATCAAAACTTGTGGACTGTTCCCCATTGGTGTGCTATTACTTTGTGGAACGTTTCGCTGAATGGTTCACGAAATATCTGCATTTTTGTGGTGAAATTGGTCCCATAGGAATGAATGGCGGAATGTTCAAAACTAGAGTGGGAGCTGACAAAAGCTAGAGTGTGAGCTGAAAAATCAGGACATGATTTCTAAACTGCCATCACTCCCTCATTTTCATGTCCACCTACACAAATCTTATATCAAAACATTCAGCTATCCCTGCTGCCACTAAAAATGTCCACGGCTAAGCCATAGTCCTGATAGTTTTCACAATATGACCATTTGTTTTCAACTCATGCCGCACATTGACGTTCATTGAAACTCCACTCTAGCCACCTCTAAATTGAAGGGCAATTTCTAAACTGCGACTGTGCCTTCATTTTTTAATATTTCA